GCCTTAAAGCATTTTTAACCTTGATCGGTGAGGTGTTTTGTTTTTGGTTTTGTTTTGAGACAGGGTCTCTCTGTCACCCAGGCTGGAGTGCAGTGGCATGATCATGGCTCACAGTAGCCTTAAATTGCTGGGTTCAAGTGATTTCTCCAGCCTTAGCCTCCTGAATAGCTGGGATCACAGGGGCATGCTGCCATGCCCAGCTGATATTTTACTTTTTGGTAGAGATGGGGGTCACCCCCTGTTTGCCAGATTAGTCTTGATTTCCTGGGCTCGAGCAATCCTCCTGTCTTTGCCTTCTGAAGTGCCAGGATTACAGGCGTGAGCCATGCACCCATCCTAGAATAGTTTCAAGAGAAAAGGTGGGAGATTCATTGTCATTCCACTGCCCAGAAGGAACCACAGTTAATATGAAAATTATTGTTAATTAATTTTCATCCTGGCAGGTGGCTGGAGATGGGAAGTAGTACAGGCAGGGATGCAATGGCAAGTGTACCCTCCAGACCTTCTCTCCAAAACCCCCGGTTTATGTTTCAGAAAAATGTACACCCGTGCATATGCCAATGAAAATGTGCATTTATTTAGAACACTCGTTTTCATACTTGGCTGCACACTAGAGCCTCCTGGGGAAGCTTTTAAAAATTCTCCTGCTCAGGCAACACCCAGAGATGACATATATTTATTAATCTTAACATACATATGTAGGCCGGGTACAGTGGTTCACGCCTGTAATCCCAGGACTTTGGGAGGCCGAGGCAGAGGTCAGGAGTTCAAGATCTGCCTGGCCTACATTGGTGAAACCCCATCTCTACTAAAGAAATACAAAAGTTAGCCAGATGTGGTGGCAGGCACCTGTTGTTTCAACTACCTGAGAGGCTGAGGCAGGAGAATTGCTGGAACCCAGGAGGTGGAGGTTGCAGTGAGTTGAGATTGTGCCACTGAACACCAGCCTAGGAGACAGAGCAAGACTCTTCAAAAAGTAAAATGAAATAAAATATATATGTACATATATATAATTTGTAGAAAACATGAAGGCTCACAAGAAACTTGAGAGTTAAGACTAGAGAAGGAAACGTGCATGGGGTGACAAGGGGATCTTTTCTGTTTTATTTTTTAATTTACTGCTATTTTCACCATAAAACTGGGGGTACATTACTTTTAAATTTAAACAACTATTAATAGAAACCTTTTATTATTTATTTTATTTATTTATTTATGTTGAGACAGGGTCTTACTGTATTGCCCAGGCTGGAGTGCAGTGGCATGATCTTGGCTCACTGCAACCTTTGCCTGCCGAGTTCAAGTGCTTTTCTTTCCTCTTTCTCCCAAGTAGCTGAGGTTACAGACATGGGCCATCATGCCAGGCTAATTTTTGTATTTTTAGTAGAGACAAGGTTTCACTGTGTTGGCCAGGCTGATGGCTGATCTCGAACTTCCAACCTCAGGTGATCTGCCTGTCTTGGCCTCCCAAAGTGCTGGGATTGCAGGCATGAACCACCGCACCCAGCCTATTTTTTATATTTTAATAAAAGGTAACTATTGGGGCCAGGTGCAATGGTTCATGCCTGTAATCCCAGCACTTTGGGAGGTCAAAGTGGGCAGATCACCTGAGGTTGGGAGTCCAAGACCAGTCTGGCCAACATGGTGAAACCCTGTCTCTACTAAAAATACAAAAATTAGCTGGCTGTGGTGGCTGGTGCCTATAATCCCAACTACTCAGGAGGCTGAGGCAGGAGAATTGCTTGAACCTGGGAGGTGGAGGCTGCAGTGAGCCGAGATTGTGCCACTACACTTCAGCCTGGGCGATAGAGGGAGATCAGTCTCAAAAAAATAAAATATTAAAAATGAAACTGCAGCTTCCTAATCCCAGCCCCTGACCTAATCTGTACAGGGTCTGTGGGTTTCTCCAGGTGGCATCCCTTCTGTCTCTAGATTCTAGGAAGGTCTTGTGGCCGTGGCTGTGGCCCCTTCGTGCTCCATGTACCCCAGCACCATATTCTCCCTCTCTCAGCTTCCATGTTATGTGACGTGTGTCTCCTTCACAGCCATAATCCTCTCTTTGAGAGCCTAAGTTAGACCTTACTATGGTGATTTCTTAATTTCATTTATTTATTTACTTACTTATTTTATTTTATTTTTTTGAAGCGGAGTCTTGCTCTGTTGCCCAGGCTAGAGTGCAGTGGCACAATCTCAGCTCACTGCAACCTCTGCCTCCTGGGTTCAAGCGATTCTCCTGCCTCAGCCTTCCCAATAGCTGGGATTACAGGCATGCGCCATCATGCCTGGCCATTTTTGTATTTTTAGTACAGATGGAGTTTCACCATGTTGGCCAGGCTGTCTGGCACTCCTGACCTCAGGTGATCCACCCACCTCAGCCTCCCAAAGTGTTAGGATTACAGGTGTCAGCCACTGCGCCCAGCCAATTTCATTTATTTTTGTGCAAGGTTTAGTATTGGACTCTGCCCACAACTAAAGCCCAATAAAACTTGCTGATATGCTCTACGGGAATTTCCTAGAATCTGTCATGTGAGATTTCAGCTTAGTGTGTTTGCTTCCGTGACACACCAGCCTCAACCTTTACAAAAAAAACCAAAAATCAATTTTGATTTTTAGATTCAGGGGGTGCACGTACAGGTTTGTTTTTATGGGTACATTGCATGGTGCTGAGATTTGAGGTTTGGATGATCTCGTCACCCAGTTAGTACCCAATGGGGAGTTTGTCAGTCCTCGGCCCCTCCCTCTGTCTGCCCTCTGGTAGTCCTCTGTGTCTGTTGTTCCATCTTTAAGTCCCAACCTTCTTTTTGAGTGTGAACCTCCTGTTCAGCCACTGGCTCAAGGGGCGACCTTTGCCGGTGTAGGGCACTGAGCTGGGTGTGCTCTGAGGTCTCTGCCCTGTTACCTTACCTGACCTCAGGCAAGACCACAACCAGAATCTTAAAGACCTTAATTGGTGGCTCCTAAAAGCTAATTTAAACACTGGGATATCCAGCGACGTTTGTTAAAAATAGATTCCTGATTCCTACCCCAGACCCCACTGAGTTGGTCTTAGGAGAAATGAGTTAAAATTTTCTTTCTTTTTTTCTTTTTTTTGAGACGGAGTCTTGTTCTGTAGCCCAGGCTGGAGTGTAGTGGCACAGTCTCGGCTCACTGCAACCTCTGCCTTCTGGGTCCTGGTTCAAGCAATTTTCCTGCCTCAGCCTCCCAAGTAGGTGGGATTACAGGCACATGCCACCATGCCCAGCTAGTTTTTTTTTTTTTGAGACGGAGTTTCACTCTTGTTACCCAGGCTGGAGTGCAATGGCGCGATCTCGGCTCACCGCAACCTCTGCCTCCTGGGTTCAAGCAATTCTCCTACCTCAGCCTCCCGAGTAGCTGAGACTACAGGCTGCGCCACCATGCCCAGCTAAATTTTGTATTTTTAGTAGAGGTGGGGTTTTACCATATTGACCAGGATGGTCTCGATCTCTTGACCTAGTGATCCACCTGCCTCGGCCTCCCAAAGTGCTGAGATTATAGGCGTAAGCCACCGCGCCCGGCCTAGTTTTTGTATTTTTAATAGAGGCAGGGTTTCACCATGTTGGCCAGGCTGGTCTTGAACTCCTAACCTTGCGATCCACCCGCCTTGGCCTCCCAAAGTGCTGAGATTACAAGGGTGAGCCACCGTGCCCGTCATGAGTTAAGATTTTCAAAAGCTCTCCAGGTGATCCTAAGACTCTGGCAAGTATGTAAAATACTGTACTGTCCAAGCTCATCTAAATATTCTGTCGCACACACAGAGTCTATGTTTATGCTCTTTGTCCGAGATTCTGTCACACACATCAGTGTGAGTAATCATGGAGGTAGGAGAGGCAGTTCTTTGATGAGGCTGCTCTATGTCGTACCTGCGAAATCTCAGCTAGAGGGCAGGTCCCACTAATGTAGCCCAATTCTAACGCCAGCACAAGAGCTTATTTGGAAATGATTTTCGTAACTACAACAGACGCCTCAGTGTCCTGCCGATGGCCTGGGCATCTGCCATTTCTGGGCACACCTGTCCAGGTGGCGACTGCCCACGCTGCACCTCTGCCTGAGGGATTTCCTGATGATCCCGGTCTGTCTGCACAAGGCAGGCAGAAGTGCTGGGAATGGAGAATCACAGCCACCCAGGAGCAGCTGGCAGCCAATGACTCACCCCAGCTCCTGGAGGGGCAGGATGATGCCAAGTGTGTGCCGAACTGTCTCCCTGCATTGTGCAGAAGGACTGGACCCTAGTTGCCCACCACATGACTGGCTGGGTAGCTCCCCCTGGACTGGACCCTACCCCTCCCTGCCCCACATCTTTGCTCCAGTGTAGGTTCTTCCCGGGATCTCCTCTCAAGTAAACTACTTGTATTGCAATTTTTGTTTCAGGTTCTGTTTCTGGGAAAACCCAGTTAAAAAAAAATTTGTTTTTGAGATGGAGTCTCATTCTGTCGCTGAGGCTGGAGTGCAGTGGCTCAATCTTGGCTCACTGCATCCTCCACATCCTGGGTTCCAGTGATTCTCCTGCTTCAGCCTCTCGAGTTGCTGGGACACGTCCGGCTAGTTTTTTGTATTTTTATTAGAGACGGGGTTTCACCATGTTGGCCAGGCTGGTCTTGAACTCCTGACCTCAAGTGATCTGCCCGCCTCGGCCTCCCAGAGTGCTGGGATTACAGGCATGAGCCACTGCCGCCAGCCAAAATTAAATTTTTTTTTAAAGTTTACTTTGCCCACAATAATGAAAACATTAAGGGGGGCCCGTTGAAAGAATAAAACTCTTCCAGGTAGTGCTTTGTGGTTTTTTTCCCATGTTGGCATCCGTTTGTGTTAGGTTTGCTCAGGTGGATGCTATGATCCTTTGTAGATGGTTTTGTCTCCTGCTCTAACCGTTGTCCTCATGCTGCCGTGAATCCTTGGTCAGCATGACTTTACTGGCTTCACAGTTGGGTTGTTCTGACTTGGCTGTGACCAACCGATGCTGTGTCTGCCCCTTGTCCTTGCAGGCATTCGTCCCTACAAATGCAATGTCTGCAATAAAGCCTTCACTCAGCGCTGCTCCCTGGAGTCCCACTTGAAGAAAATCCATGGGGTGCAGCAGCAGTACGCCTATAAGCAGCGGCGGGACAAGCTCTACGTCTGCGAGGATTGTGGCTACACGGGCCCCACCCAGGAGGAACTGTACCTGCACGTGAACAGTGCCCACCCGGGCAGCTCATTTCTCAAAAAGACGTCTAAAAAACTGGCGGCGCTTTTGCAGGGCAAGCTGACATCCGTACACCAGGAGCATACAAGCCTGAGTGAGGAGGAGGAGAGGAAGTGAGAAGGAAGGGGAGGACGGATGTTCACACTGCCATGTATGTCTACGTGGATTTTTCGTTTTCAGCGTCCCCCACCCCACTGGCTCTTCTTAATTAGAAATGTCCAGTTCACCTCTGTGTCCTTTTGGAACATCAGCAGTCGGATCCGTTCCAAGATTGTCAGTTCCCGTGGTGCCGTCAGGCCCTGTAACTCGTGTCCTGTCTGGTGCACTTGCTCACATTCGCCAAAGTCTGTTTTCCATGATCCTGATGGCCAAGAACGCCGTGCGGGACTTTTTTTTTTTCTCAAGGATTTTCACACATGGAGGGAGAGGTATTTCTTAGAGCAATCATCATTTTATGGTGCCTTGAAATAAAAATACTTCTACTTGAAATGCTGTTTAAGCAAGGAAAATGAATTTTGTTATTCTGAAAGAGTTTACAGAAATTATTTTAATAAATGAAATGTTCTTGTGAAGCTTTCAAAGGCAAAGTGGAGCATTGACCCACAGCTCTCTGTTCAGAGCTTATTGTGTGATGTTTCGTTTCAGGTTATTGAGATGGGGAGGTTGATTATGTTGTATTAGTGGTGTGGGTTTGAAGAAGCAGATCTTTCTTTTTTTTGTTGTTTTTTTTGTTTTTGAGACAAGTTCTCACTCTGTCGCCCAGGCTGGAGTGCAGTGGTGTGATCATGGCTCACTGCAACCTTGACCTCCCAGGCTCAGGTGATCCTCTCCCACTTCAGCCTCCCAAGTGGCTGGGACTACAGGTGTGTGCCACTATGCCCAGCTAACTTTTGTATTTTTTTTTTTGTAGAGATTGGGTTTTGCTATGTTGTCCAGGCTGGGATCAAATCTTGAGTGTTGGGTGGAAAAACAAATAGCTGATTAGAAAACCCTGCACTAAGGGTTGGCTCATGCAGGCTGGTGGGCAGAGACACCTGGGTGGCATGGCAGGGAGCTCAGCTCTAGGTTGCAGGCTGGTGGGCAGAGACGCCTGGGTGGCATGGCAGGGAACTCAGCTCTAGGGCCTCTTTTTAGGGCCTGGTCTCCTTCTCTGCAGAGGTCTTGGCTTTCTTCAGTTAGGATGCGCTGGCTGAAGCCTCTTCTCCCTCCCTTGAATGGGCTCTGGGGCCGACCCTGGAGCATGAGAAATGCTGACTCCTCACGTGCAGGAGAGATGACAGTGTCAGGAGTTCCCTCGGGGTTCGTGACAGCTGAGTGCAGTGACTTCTGCTACCTCCGTCTCCTCACCTTGGAGGCCTGTGTCAGAGCCACGGAAGGCGAGGCTCTGATAGGGCAAAATGTGGGCAGCTGGCCACGGGGGGAGAGGGGGAGGTTTCCTCATCCTGCCTGCCTCAGGAGGTATTTGCCACAGGCTGGGAGCTGCTACCTGAATTGAGTAGGAAGTTCAGATCACCTACACCCCAGTCACCTACACCCCAATCACCTACACCGATTACCTACATCTTCATCATCTACACCCCATCACCTACACCCCAACCATCTATACCCTGATCACCTGCACCCTGATTACCTATACTCCATCACCTACACCCCAACCATCTACACCCTGATCACCTGCACCCTGATTACCTACACTCCATCATCTACACCCCGACCATCTATACCCTGATCACCTGCACCCTGATTACCTATACTCCATCACCTACACCCCAACCATCTACACCCTGATCACCTGCACCCTGATTACCTACACTCCATCACCAACACCCTGTTGTCTTTTCTTGCCCACTCCTGGGCACCATCTGGGCCACTCCTTGGTCTAGGGAAACATTGCTAGACCCTTGTCTTGTTTCCTCCCTCTCTGCTTCCTCTCCTCTTCTTTCCTTTCCCCTCCCTCCTTTCCTTCCACCTTCTCTCCTTCTCTCCCACATTGTGCACCAGGCATTATGCCAAGATCTGGACATTTTAAGTGGCATATTCTATAGCTTGAGCCAACATTTCTCTTCCAATTCAATGCTTTTGTTTCAGAAGGAAAGGAAACAAACTCTTTTTGGGCAGTGAGCTAGGTAGGCCTCACTGGGCAGATGTTTTCTGGGAGAATTCTCAGAGCACCCCTGGGGTCACAACCCTGTTTCTACGAGTAGATGAGGCAACTGCAGAGGCTGTTTTCTGGAGGTCAGAGGCAGAGGCCAGGAATCCTGAGTCTAGTCAGAATGCCTCAATTTCCCTCTCTCCTCACCCTCTCTTCAAAAAAGAAAGCAAAGGCTTCAGGCTGGACTGGAACCATACAGAGGCAGGTATGAGACCAGGGCTGACTGGGCGGGGGTGGGGAGAGTTCCTTGCCTCTCTGCTGCTTGGACTGGCAAGGTTCAGGGGCCATGGGGCCCTGCCCTGCCTCATCTGAAATTCCAGGTTCCTGGGATGAGGCTGTAGCACAAAACAATCTAAATGACCCCATTCAGGCAGCAGCAGCAGCAGAGGTTGAACCTGCACTCAAGTATCACAGGTGCAGCCTCCCAGGACAGCCATCGCCTGGGCTCAACCCTGACTCCAGAGAGCAGAGTACTAACATTGTGCTCTCTCCTAGCACCTGCTGCGGAGGAGACTGGCTGCAAGGTGGTTGATTTGCTTTCTTCTTGGTTATCTGGGTCATGTAGACAACAAGAGTGAGCATTCTTAGAAAGGAATATCCAAATGACAGGACTGGGGCAGCTGGCCTGTGCCTGTTTTGCACAGGGAATTGTGAACCAGTTGATGTTCTCTTTAGGGTCAGGTTTTTACTAAGCAGAGCTCTTGGTTGCAAAAGACAGAAACCCAGTGTAAAACAACTTTAGCAGAAAAGGGAATGTAGTAGCTGAAAAGCCTAGGGTCGTTCCAGTTTCAGAGGTGGCCAGATCTGGTGCTTACATGATGTCGTCCTCTCTTACCTCTCTCTCTGTCTTTTAGCTCAATTTCCCCAATGGTGGCTTCCTTCTCAGGCTGGCACAAATGGAGGCTGGATGGCCACCCACAGCTCTGGACTTCTGCCTCACAGTGCAGTTACCCAGTAGGAGGGTTTCTCTTTCAGGCTAAGATCTTGGGCGGATTTGGCTCTGGGGCCCCCCCTCAACTAATTAGTGTGCCCTGGGAGATGTGCAGCTCTCTAGACCAGACCTACACCCCTCCCACGCTGAACTGAGTGGAAAGAGCGCAGGTCAGCTACACTCCTGGTCTGGGAGCAGTGAGAAAGGGATTGCCCAGCAGAAAATCAAGACACCATGGCCAGAAAAGGAAATGGACATTGGGCAGCTATGCTAGTTAAGGCATGGCTGGGCCGGGCACAGTGGTTCACACCTATAATCTCAGCACTTTGGGAGGCCGAGGTGGACAGGTGACTTAAGGTTAGGAGTTCAAAACCAGCCTAACCAACATGGCGAAACCCCATGTCTACCAAAAATACAAAAATCAGCCAGGCATGGTGGTGGGTGCCTGTAATTCCAGCTACTCAGGAGGCTGAGGCAAGAGAATCGCTTGAATTCAGGAGGCAGAGGTTGCAGTGAGCCAAGATGGTGCCACTGCACTCCAGCCTGGTGACAGAGCAAGACTTCATCTCAAAAAAAAAAAAAAAAGACTGGGCATGGCTGCTGTAACAAAGATTCCCAACACACCTATGGCTTAAAGAATAGAGAGCATTGTTTCTCATGTGGTAGTTATGCGTTGGGGGTTCTCCTCCATGCCATCACTCAGGGGCCTAGAGTTAGTTCTCCCTTGTGTTGCTCTGCCATGCCCTAAGACAATGTCATCGTATGCCTGGTAGAAGCTGAGCAGACAATGTCATCCTATGCCTGGTAGAAGCTGAGCAGACAGTGTCATCCTGTGCGTGGTGGAAGCTGAGTAGACAGTGTCAACCTATGTGTAGAAGCTGAGTAGACGACGTCATCCTGTGCGTGGTGGAAGCTGAGTAGACGATGTCTTAGTGTGCGTGGTGGAAGCTGAGTAGACGATGTCTTAGTGTGCGTGGTGGAAGCTGGGCAGACGACGTCATCCTGTGCGTGGTGGAAGCTGAGTAGACGATGTCTTAGTGTGCGTGGTGGAAGCTGGGCAGACGACGTCATCCTGTGCGTGGTGGAAGCTGAGTACACGACGTCTCCCTGTGCGCGGTGGAAGCTGGGCAGACGACGTCATCCTGTGCGTGGTGGAAGCTGACGTCATCCTGTGCGCGGTGGAAGCTGGGCAGACGACGTCTCCCTGTGCGCGGTGGAAGCTGGGCAGACGACGTCTCCCTGTGCGCGGTGGAAGCTGGGCAGACGACGTCATCCCTGTGCGCGGTGGAAGCTGGGCAGACGACGTCTCCCTGTGCGCGGTGGAAGCTGGGCAGACGACGTCATCCTGTGCGCGGTGGAAGCTGGGCAGACGACGTCTCCCTGTGCGCGGTGGAAGCTGGGCAGACGACGTCTCCCTGTGCGCGGTGGAAGCTGGGCAGACGACGTCTCCCTGTGCGCGGTGGAAGCTGGGCAGACGACGTCTCCCTGTGCGCGGTGGAAGCTGGGCAGACGACGTCTCCCTGTGCGCGGTGGAAGCTGGGCAGACGACGTCTCCCTGTGCGCGGTGGAAGCTGGGCAGACGACGTCTCCCTGTGCGCGGTGGAAGCTGGGCAGACGACGTCTCCCTGTGCGCGGTGGAAGCTGGGCAGACGACGTCTCCCTGTGCGCGGTGGAAGCTGGGCAGACGACGTCTCCCTGTGCGTGGTGAAAGCTCGGTTTCTAAGGGTCTCAGCTGGTAGGAGAGTTGTCTTGAAGAAGCACATCTTGAGTGTTGGGTGGAAGAACAAACGGCTGACTGAAAACCCTGCACTGAGGGTCTGGCTCACTCAGGCTGGTGGGCAGTGGCACCTGGGGGTGACTTGGCAGGAGGCTCAACTCTTTGGGCTCTTTTTAAGGCCCAAAGTCTCTCTTTTTTCATGTATTTTCGGTTCTTCCAGAAGCCAGTTCTGAGGCAAGGATTAAAGTTCAAGCGGATTGCTTAGGAAGCAATCCCAGAAAGTATCTGCTAGGGATTGGGGAGATGTGACAGGAAGAAAAGTGCCCATGTGGGGAAGAGAATCAAGGAAGTTACTGCTGTGGGTAACTGGTGCTTAATCGCCCTGGGGCCCTCCGGGAGGCAATACAGCATGCGCCTGAGAGTTAGCCCAGTGCAGATGCGTAGGACACTGTTCTCAACTCTCCATCCATCATTGGTTGAAGGCTGCTGACACTTGAGCCCTTCCAACTTGCCCTGTGCACTGGCCAAGCATGCTTCCTGTGCCAGGAAATCCCCAGAGGTTAGCTGTAAGCAGCCCTCAGCACATACATCTGAAAGCTGGCAAAACAGGGTGAGATGATAGTTGTGTCTGGTACGGGTGTGGAAGGGTCACAGCCCCTTCCTGAAGACACTGGCCTGGGTGTGGCCTT